TATATAAAGCATATTAAAATTAAACTAAAATTAAAATGAAAAATATATTAATAAAAGATACAGTTAAGTTTCTGGAGGAAAAAGACATTAATAGGTTCATAATAACCATAACAATCAACAGTTTAGCAGGTTATATCAAGCTATTTGACAGTGACTTTGAACGAGGCTCATCCAGTCCGATTTTACAGCAGATCGTAAACTTTCTGTTTTATTGGCAATAATCTGCATTCGTTCTCTTACTCTTTCTCTCTGTTTCTCCTGCATCTGTAGAAATCTATCGCATTGTATCACAGAAGCAAATCGCTGACCGATCAGCTCATGACGAGTCGCCGGGAAACAACGTAGTGGACATCAGCGTCCCGCCGACTACAGACGGCCAGAGGGGCAACAAACTGCAGTGCTGCCAAAACCTGTAACCATGACAACCAGCCCTCACCTGTCACTCATCTCGTCTCCCTCTACATGTCGTGCCGCTAACATTCTCAGTTTTATTGTGTAATATAAATGTCTTTTTCTTTTTCTTTTTGATAGCTTGTCCTCTCACATACACACATATGACTGCCATGAGTAAACTTTTACAGTATCTGACTGAGCTCTGGATTATTGGCTGCAAGACTGTGGTTGAAAAATGAAAATCAGGTTTAAAAATGCAAGTAAATATTCCACTATCATACAGAACTTCAGACATCCTCTGCTACCATCAGCTGAAGCTCAAGATCATGTGCAGGTCATATATCACTCCAAAATTAAAATAAATTGTAATAATATTTAAAAATATATATATTAATAAAAATAATTCCCTCAAATTTTTATTACAGTAATGCAAAATTATTTATATTTTTTTCATTGATGTAATATATATATGTGTGTATATACATATATATATATATATAAATGTAATTAATATATATATATATATATATATATATATATATAAACAAACAATATATATATATACCTTTTGTTTTATTTTTAAGTATATTATGAAATACTCAAAAGTATTTTTTTTTGCGTTAACTTTGATTTTGACATTGATTTCTGCAGTATCTTCATGACATTTTCATGAATTTGATGTTTTTTTGGATGAAATATTGTATAACCACATGTTTTCTTGAGGCTGTACTTTACAGCAAAGTTGTGAAATCGAGCTACTAGACAGACTGTACTAGTTGTAAGTGTTTAACTGTGATGAAGCCGCTAGTTGAGTCTGATATCAGAGCTTTCTATTCCTGTCTGTGTAACACTATGAGAGGAGGAAGTGATATTTGCAGCAGACAGGAAGTCCCGCCTTCCCAAACACATCAAATAACAAATACACTCATGTGGAAACTATAGTGTGAGACTAACAGATCAGCAACAACTCAATACCAGACAAGAGCTCATCTGTTACGGCACTATTTATTTGATTTTAAATGCATTGGGATTTTGTTTGGTTTGTTTTGCATTGTTGTTTTTTTATACGTGTAGGTTCGTTATGGTCATACACACCTCATGTGTCTCTGAATTTTCATGAACGCTGGTCTGGAGGTTCGCTGTGAACACACACACACACACACACACACACACACACACAAACTATTTGTAACTATCAACATTTTCAAATTAAAAATAAAATGATGCTTGAATTGTGAATACTAACCTATTGCGTCAATTATGCATAAAAAATAAACATGTACACAAATGATCCACTATGACGTCACATCATGGACAGAACATTGCATCATGGGTACAATTAAAAAGTAGTTTTCATACTGCACTAACAATGATAATAATAATAGAAATTACTTAACAACATTTTTAAAAAATAAACATTAAAAAACAAACATTAAAACAAAGAAATTGAAGGAAAATCTGTAATCTGACAGCAATATAAAAAAAAATACATATTGTACTTATATTACAAGTAAGAAACATGGGTAAAATACCATAATTTTTATTCATATATTATTCATACTTCACTGGCAATGCTAATAAGAATAATTCATTGTAATAATAAATAAAAAAAACTTATACAAAATTATCATTACAAACATTAAAACAGAAAAATAACTTAAGGAAAATCTGTAATCTAACAGCAATATTAAAAAATATATATATATATTTATATTATACACTATACACTTGTATTATGAATAAGAAATAGTCATGGGGGAAAAAGTATTGTTTATACAATCACTGTAAATTATAATAATAATTGCTTAAAATTAGAAATAAAAAATAACTTTACCAATAGAATAAAAAACTACTTATATAATTATAACTATTGAAACAAATTACAAATTGTAAAAACATAAAACACACAAAATCTGTAATCTGACAGCAATATGAATTAATTTTGTGCTTCGGTTTAAAAAAACAATACATGTTGCACTTCTATTATGAAAATATTGTCATTTATATTTTAATATTAGATTATAATTCTGGGTAACACTTTATTTTAAGGTGTCCTTGTTACACGTTACATGTACACTGTAAAATAAAAAAAATGTAGGGTAATGAGTCACATCTATATTTTATAACTTGAGCCAATGAAAAATAAACAATATTTTCTATGTCTATGAAAACTATTTTATAAAACCTGGCACAAAGAATATTTTTCTTGTTGAAGAAAGTCAATTAATTACAATTATATTTATCAATGTTTTGAACTAAAAAAATTACTTTGAAAATAAAACAAATAATGGTAAATTTAACTGAAAGACAAATTATTAATTGGAATCTTTTTTCAGTGCACTTGTTTGGTTATTTGATGTGTGTTTGCAGTCTCTGCTGCAGGACGTGTGTGAGCGCAGATAAGAGCTGCTTCTGTCCAGTCGGAGGCTCATTGATCAACACACTACAGGCCCAACACACATGCTTTTAGAAAATGTTCAGCCTGCAAAAGTCAACCTGAAGGTTTGGCATCAGCTATCATTACTGATAAAAGCGCCAGACAGTACTGCTCTTTTTTTTGTTTGTTGATAATTTAATACTTTTATTCAGCAAAGATGCATTAAATTGATCAAAAGTGACAGTAAAGACATTTATAATGTCACGAAAGATTTCTATTTCAAATAAACGCTGTTCTTTTAAACTTTCTATTCATCTGTGAATCCTGAAAAATAAAAGGTATCATGGTTTCCACAAAAACATGAAGCAGCACAACATTGATAATAATCAGAATTGTTTCTTGAGCAGCAAATCAGCATATTAGAATTAATTCATTACATTTACATAGCACTTTTCTAGGCACTCAAAGCACTTTACATTGTCAGTGGTATCTCCTCATCCACCACCAGTGTGCAGCATCCACCTGGAGGATGCGACGGCAGCCATAGAACTGCCAGAATGATTTCTGAAGATCATGTGACACTGAAGACCGCAGTAATGATGCTGAAAATTCAGCTGCGCACCACAGAAATAAATTACAGTTTAATAGATATTCACATAGAAAACAGCTATTTTAAATTAGAATAATATTTCACAATATTACTGTATTTACTGTATTTTTGATCAAATAAATGCAGCCTTGGTGAGCAGAAGAGACTCTTTCAAAAACATTAAAATTTAACGGATTATTCACGGAAAATCTTACATTTTGCTGGAGTTTTTAATGATTTTCCTGTGATGTTTCATCAGCGGCTGGTTTCTTCAGGTCGAAAAGATGAAAAGAAACACTTCACAATCAAAACACAAGCATGCATGAAAAATAAAACGATGACAAGAAAAGCATTAAAAACAAACGATGTTAGCTCCAGGGTTAAATGATTAGTATCAGTCTGATTAGACCAATATGAGAAGCAGATATTACATATAATTCATCATGGCAGGTTTCAAAACATTTAAATAATAATAATAATAATAATAATAATAATAATAAATGGAAACTGAAAGAAGAATAAATTATACTGAAGTCAAATTTCACTCCAAAATCAAAAGAAATAAACATTATTTTGCATAAAGAAATTGAATCCTGTTTTGGGATTTGACTGTTTTTATGCACATGACAATTTCCCTTCAAAATCGAATTAATGTAAAGCAAATTATCCTATTAGCTGTACATTTAAAAAACTGTACTGTGTTAGATTTTACTAGAAGCATGTAAAATCGAATGCTGTTTTTAAACATGTCATCTGTAATGATGTGTAGAAATCGATGTCAATTATTCAGCCATAAATGTGGCCGGCACTCTTTGCATGTCATTTGTTTTTACCCAGAATACACTAAACATGGATTTAGACCTGAGAGGAAACAGATCCACTCACAACCAAAGCATAATATACAGTAAATCATATTTAAAAGCAAAATCCCAGAGTGAAAGGAAAAGTGTATTTTCCATATAGGCTTTATTGGTATGGTTTGTATTGATGTTTACATCATCATTAGCAGCTAATGATCTGTACAAACACACATTAGTGTGAGAGACGGACACTTACAGACGCTTATACTTGGTTTGGTTCACATGCACCGAGTCTCACCAGAAAAGAGCTGCAGAAATGACAAAGCCTAAAGTACAGCACAGACTTTCCTCAAACGAATAACTCAAACTATATAGAGTACAGTCAAACACTCTCATACACACACATTATACAATACAGCTTCACACCAGACGTCTGGAAAGCTACAAACCAAGCGTCCCGAACGACATGCAGGCCGAAAAATAAAACTCTCATTACTTCACACATATAGTACATTATTACGCTTTAAAACATATCGTACATTATACTACAAAGACTCGCCTCATGAAACGTGAGAAATAGGATTGATTTTGATCATATTGAGGATTTCATTGCTGACATGTTATCCTTTAAATAAAATAGTCCAAACCCAAACCGAACATTAAAGAAACGATGCAGTTCGATAAAAAGTATAATTTCCAACTCACAGAAGAAACACAAACACACATTTACATTAATGCACTTAAAACGGACATTAACAATTTTGACAGTACTGCCTCTAGAATTGAATACATATAAATAAAATCTTAAAATTATGTCCAATTTTTTATTCCATTTTGCATGATTGTAAATGTGATTTTTTTAAACAAAATTAAGGATGAGTAAGGATGATAATTTTCATGTCATAGACGTTGTATAGAACTTATACTGAACTAAAACATTTCCTCAAGAGATTGATTATATACATATGCATATATAAATGTCGTATATATTATGATAATCAGCACATCTGAAATTAGCCTTAGTAAACAAACAAACAAAAACCTCGAAATGGAATAAAGCTTAAAAAGCAGAATGACAAGGTCGTAAAAGCTGAAATCAAGCGTGGGCCGTTTCGACAGTTCAGTGTGTTTAGTGTTTTAATCATCATCAATGTTTCATGCTGAATGACTAAAACATACTGTACAGTTACTCTCTATCGCTTCCTCTCGCTCACAAAATCTGTCAGAATAATAATGACTCTAGACAGCGCTCAGTGCACCATAGAAATACATGGTTTTCAGTAATATTGCCTAAACATGATTAAAATAAGATGCATTTATTTAAGATGCTAAATATTCTGATATCTTGAATCAAGTATTTTTCATACTTCATTGGCAATGATAATAATAATAACTTAGAATAAAGGCTGGAATACACTACACGACTTTTCAAATCTGAACAGATTTTTAAAACACAAGACATCAACAAAGGAAAACTGTGAAATCTGTCAACTCTTCTGCAGACCGACTCTGACTTTTAGCAACTTGCGTTGACTTCACCAGACTGTAAATCGGGGGGGGGGGGGGTTATGTAGGGGGGGTTCAAGTTAAAAAAAC